GAAATATGGTCTTGGACTTGTCTGAGAGTTTGTAAAAATAATTTTCGTCTTCTCTTTTTCTGATAGGTTTGTCAAGGAGTATTTTTTTCTTCTAGAAAACATAGCCTAATCATCAGTGTAATGCACAACTGAAGCCAACTATTTGAAGTAAAAGTTTGGCCTCAAAAAGGATTTAATAGTTTTTGGTCTCGTCTACATCTTGACTCGATTTCTACTGGACATGATCTTGACTTGGCCTTGACCCCCTTAATACTTGATCTTGGATAGTCCTGGTCTTGGATTTGAAAATAGGGGACTTGACTATAGCCCTACTAGCTCCAGATCTGCATAGCAGAGCTGGCCTGAAATCTTTTTTGCGTGACAACCCAATACCAGAACTGATCTGTTTTTACAGGTCTGTGCCAAAGCATATTTTAATATCTGGCCCAAATATGGTGCACACCCAGTTCAGAAGTGCAGAAAAAATTAAGGTTTGTTAAACAAAATTATGACTGTTGTCAACACAGCATTCTTTGTAAAAAGTCATGTTTAACATACAAATGTAAAACCACATAATTAATAAAACTAAAAGGCTCTTTTAGGGAATTACACATTCAGTGCAGCATTTAGGAGCAACCACTCCTACTGTTCATGACTGCTGTTTGGGTGGTGATGGTAAACTATTTTTGGTGCCAAGTTAAAGTTTGCTAATGGTGTCAGTGATAGCTTGGAAAGCAGATGGGACCTTGCCAGCAGCCTCTATAGACCTAGAATATTTGTACACGCACAGGTAGGCAGTACCTCTGGGTAGATAACTTGCATTTGGTTAACTGAAGAAGTAGTTTGATCATTTTAAGCAGGTTGTTTTAAGTATGAACATAAGAGTCTAAACCAAAACACAGGCTATAATGGTGAATAAAAGATTTTATTTTTATTTTTTTAACTTGGCATAACATTTTATAGATGTGGCCATATGCTTTAGGAGTCTGCTGACTGACAAAGTGTTCAGTGTCATTAACAGCTGCTTGGCTTACATTAAGTGTCAAATTTTCCTGTTTGAAATATACAGTATCTACTAGTTTAGGATTCCCTAACATGATATAAGATGCTGTGAGATGAGATATTGTTCCTAAATTAAGATAGAATTTCCTTCTTTAATATGAATTTGTGAAAAATCCTATCTTGCACTTGCACTACATAAGCGTTAATAACATATGGTGTCTTATGACACTGTAAAGTTATAATATAATATTGTAAAGTTATAACTACGTTGATGGGGTCTTACCTAAGTGGAAACCCATCTTCTCTGTATGGACATCCATGGCCACACTCCCAGATGTGAGGAATTTCATCTTCTTCTCTTTATACCCATGTTGAGACATCTAAATAAGAATGTTAAATAAGCTTCACAACCAACACACAGACTGCATTTCTGCTGTTTTGTAGCTTTTAATCAGGTTCCTACCATCAAGTCCGGTATAGACATGTCTCCCTGAGGAACATAGTTGAAATGTACTTTGGCTTTTTTTGCCATTGACATTGACCTGCACAATTTGGCCTCTAAAAAGTAAACCACCTTTCCATGGCAGCCTTTGAAAGATGCAGGCATGTCTCTGTAAAAATGCAACACAAGCAGAACTGTTTAAAAAATGTCTGAGTGATTGACTATAGAACATATGGAATGTATCAGACTAATACTCACTGATGGGGGATCTGAAAGGAGAATGGGTAAACATGGATTCCAGGTTCAACAATTCTTGAGTCTGATAAGGAGAAGAGATATAGTCAGGTCCATACGTATTTGGACAGTGACACAATTTTCGTAATTTTGCCTCTCTGTACTACCACAATGGATTTGAAATGAAGCAATCAAGATGTGATTGAAGTGTAGACTTTCAGCTTTAATTCAAGGGATGTTAACAGAAATATTCCATTAACCATTTAGGAATTACAACCATTTAGTCCCTCCATTTTCACAGGCTCAAAGGTAATTGGACAATTAACTGATAAGCAGTTTAATGGCCAGCTGTGGCCTGTTTCCTCGTTATTTCATGATAAATTAAGGAGATAAAAGGTCTGGAGTTGATTCCAAGCTTTGAATTTGCATTTGGTAGTTTGGTGGTTCAAGGGAACTCTCACTATTATCGGGTCCAAAGAGGTGTTGATGCAAGTCAAGGAGGCCATCACTAGGCTGAGAAAACAAAACAGACCTATCAGAGAGACAGCAGAAACATTAGGAGTGGCCAAATCAACAGTTTGGTACATTCTTAAAAAGAAGGAATGCACTGGCGAGTTCAGCAACACAAAAGGGCCTGGAAGACCGCAGAAGACAACTAAAGTGGATGATCACAGAATTCTTTACTTGTGGAAGAAAAACCCCTTTACAACATCTAGCCAAGTCAAGAACACTCTGCAGGAGGTAGGCGTATCATTGTCAAAGTCTACAATCAAGAGAAGACGTCTCCATAAATGTAAATACAAACAATTTACCTCAAGAAGCAAACCACTGGTAACACTCAAGAACAGAAAGGCCAGACTTGCAAAAAAAACCAAAAAAACGCCTGCCCAGTTCTGGAACAAGATTAACTTGTACCAGAATGATGCGAAGAGAAGAGTATGGAGGAGGAAAGGAAGGGCTCATGAGCCAAAGCATACCACATCATCTGTCAAACATGGTGGAGGCAGTGTTATGGCATGGGCATTTATGGCTGCCAATGGAACTGGGTCACTGATGTTTATTGATAATGTTACTGCTGATAGAAGTAGCAGGCTGAATTCTGAAGTGTATAGAGCTATATTTTCTGCTCAGATTCAGTCAAATGCTGCAAAACTGATAGGACAGCGCTTCACAGTACAGATGGATAATGACCCAAAACATACAACGAAAGCAACAAGAGCTTCTTTAGGCAAAGAAATTAAATGTTCTTAAATGTCTGATGCCTTCAACCCGACTGAGCAGGCTTTTCACTTACTGAAGACAAAACTGAAAGCAGAAAGACCCACAAACAAGAGGCAACTGAAAGTAGCTGCAGTAAATGCGTGGCAAAGCATCTCAAGGAAACTTGAGGAAACTCAGCATTTGATGATGTCCATGGGTTTCAGATTTCAGGCAATTGACTGCAAAAGATTTTCATCCAAGTATTAAAAATAATCCTTATATTTATAATTACGTAAGTTTGTCCAATTACTTTTGAGCCTGTGAAAATGGAGAGACTCTGTAAAAATGGCTGTAATTCCTAAATGGTTAATGCAATCTTTTTGTTAAACTCCTGACTGTATCTTATTACAACTTCCTTATAATTTTGCATGCTAAATAGGCTGCAATAATATACAACTACAACAACAACTGCTATTGCTACTAATTATTATTGTTATTATTATTATTATTATTATTATTATTATTATTGTTATTACTGAATAGTAGGAGTAGGGAAAGTACAAGGAATAATAGTATAAAAGCACTATAAAAACCAAATTTAAAACATTGTTTAAACTTACAACATGGCCCAGACTCATCTGGTAACATTGAGTATCCGTCTTGACCTGCAAATGAAAATACTTCTACTGAGTATGAAGTGTAATATCCTCTTTTCCTTCTTTTCACTGGATCTTATCCAATCTTTCTGTGTCTGTTTTTATGCCACACTGCTCACTGATTAAAGCGATTCCAGTGCAGTACACCAGTGTTGTTGTATCCACTGTCTGAGTCTTGCAATCATTTAATACAGTAATAGATACTGTATTATAGTATAGTATAGTATATAGTATTGTATAGTAAGGTTTTTCCCTTTTTGGGAGTGTGTAAACAAGTCAGAAACAAGTCTGGTAGTGTCTCAAATGGTGCCCTAAATATTGCAGGGCCCCTCCAAGTATACACTTTTGTGACAAAGCCAACACCTTATACATAGATATACACACCAGATTAGCCATTTGACAATAATCATAATAATCAGTAATGTTTTCTCAGACCAGATCCATAACAAGTAGTGACTGGACCAGTTGTATTTCTTTTCACTCTTGTTTCACTTCAGTCTATTAAACACGCTAATAAACACCCTGAAACATTGGCAGATAAAACGAAACTAGAAACAGTGTGTGATTTTTAGAAAAATCTGTGTGATTTTTAAACCACGCCTAACGCTATACATTACAGGTAGGTTTGTAAAGCAGGTGATGTTTTACCCTTTCTCTTCTGTTCTTGAATGAAGTACTGAACTGACTTAAAGCATGTTTCTTTATCGTAATAAACAACTACGTTGTCATTGCCGTGATTTTCCGACCACAGTACAGAGGCTTTCCCTTTGGCTTTGACAAACAGACTCTCGATGTGAGTTTTCTTCACCACCTCCAAAGTTACTCGTCCAGAGATGTAGTCTCCATTAGTAAATGTGTTGCTTTCATTTAAGGGATCAAATGCCACTGATATGTTCTTCACGGTAGAAGCCATAGTCTTCATTTCAGTTCGTAAGTAGGTGTAGTGCGTGAGCCTCCTGTAATCATGACGTCACTCCGCTACTATGACTAAAGTACAAAGGTGTTAAGGCTACTTCCGACTCGACCTCCAACTAGGTTTGCGGTTAGCATGAGATGACTCGTATCACAGTATCCTAAACTGTGCCCTAACCCTCGAAGTCCCCCTCCAAATCCTTATATAAATATACAGAGAAATAAGAAAATTAGATGCCTTAGCCTCTGTTGCTAACTATTTTCTTATGTCGCTAACTACTTTCTTATGTCAACACCCCGCCATGTTAGCAGCGAAGAGAGCTGTTCCAGTACAAGTCGAAGAGGAGATGAGAGTGATGCTAACAAACAGTGAACTCACCTCACCAGCACACCTTAACTTCTTCATAAAGTCTCTCATAAACTGAACACACCAAAGTTTGTCCAGACTCGACTGGACTTTTTCACTTCTGGTCAACATCTTTGTGGTATCAAAGGACCCGACACTCCAAGACTAGTTTCACTACCTGAGCATCTCTCGCTAATCCCTCCCCCCAGTGTCACTCTCTCCTCTCCCCAGCGCGGTGGCTTAGTGGTTAGCGCGTTTGCCTCTTACCTCCAGGATTGCCGGTTTGATTCCCGCCTCTGCTCCCTGCCTCCTTTGGGTGTCCCTGTTTCTGCCCCAAGATATGCGTTGACTAGCATTTCAAATTGTCTGGTGTGTGTGTGAATATGTGTGAGTACCCCCCTGCTATATAAGATCTGTGGTACAGAAAATGGATGGATGGAAGTTTTCTGAGAGACAGCAACAACACTGTGGGAGTTACTGAAATAAATCTATGAGGCTATAGCTATAATTGCACCACAAAAAGCATTATTTGTAAATTTCCATTGTTTTTTTCTGGGGTTTATTCTGCTGTTATTCAGTCATAAATTTATAATTTTTTCATATTTTATCCTACCATTTATATAGGAAGCTGTGGCTTGGCCAGCTCTGATGAGCAAGCCCCCACTGGCGGTCTTTATCCAGGTCTTTATTCAGGTGGCAGTATAGTGAACCAACACTTTGTTTTTCCTGGCTCTCTTTCTTCCTGTTGGCTACAGAATGAAAGTGAAGCTGCTTTGTGCCCAGGCCTTAGCTGCATTATTGATCAGAAAAACAGATGCAAATCATATCTGTTTCAATTATGTTTTATATTCTAGTGTCAAGTGCGTTCCATGGGCTACCACCAGGGTTACAAGCAACACAGAGCAACCAAAATTATGGAAATGAAGAACGCCAGCACAAACATGAAACATCTACAGCATTTCTTTAGTCTAAATATTGAAGGCAAAATAAATAGGCAACAGAACAGTATAATCTTAATAAATGTTGTCCTTCTAACTACTTATTTATTCATCTATCTATCTATCTATCTATCTATCTATCTATCTATCTATCTATTAAGCTAATGTTTTTTATTATTATTATTATGTTTTAAAGCAATACCATCAGGGACCCCCTGGATTTACATCATGGGCCCCTAGGAGATGGAAGGTAAAAACCTTTAAAGAGTCTAGATCTAACCTTTTTCTTCTTCAAGAAAATGAATTCAAATGCATATTATCAAATATATATATATAGATTCTGAAATAAATCCAGATACATATGGCATCCCATATGCACATGCATATGCAGTCGGTAAACTAACAATACCCAGCATTAAAAATTTTCTTGTTATGTAGAATGAATGGAATGAAAACATCTTTAAAGATAAATGTAACTTGGAAACAAGGAGCAGGATTTTGAAATCATGCCTAATACTGGCCTAGACCATACAGGTAGCCATACATCTGTAAAGCAGGTGATGTTTTACCTTTTTTCTTTTCTTGAATGAAGTGCTGAACTGACTTAAAGCATGTTTCTTTATCATGGTAAACAACCATGTTGTATTTGCCGTGATTTTCCGACCACAGCACAGAGGCTTCTCCTTTGGCTTTGACAAACAGACTCTTGATGTGAGTTTTCTTCACCACCTCCAAAGTTACTCGTCCAGAGATGTAGTCTCCATTAGTAAATGTGCTGCTTTCACTTAAAGGATCAAATGCCACTGATATGTTCTTCACTTTACATGCCATAGTCTTCAGTCCAGATAAAAGGTGGTTGGCTTCATTTATCCCACTTTTAAACCTGTTGCAGGTTGTTAAAGTACAGTGATGTTTTAGAGCTACTTCCGACTCGACCCGTCTCCCAAATGTCTGCCTCCTACCTGTACAAGCACACTACCAAGGGAATAAGCAAATGGCTGTTACACCCCTGCTAGTGCATGACATGTCCAATAGGGAGGCATTTGTTAGCGCCCTGTTGTTGCTTCTCTAGGCAAATGATGAGGGTGAAGTTGGGTGTGAGCAAGTGGGAGCAGTGTTGCCAACTCTAAAGCATGCTCAGAAAGTTGCTAGAAGTCGTCGGATGACGTCAGAGACTAATTTTCATTGATATTCTTTGCCATGGCCATCAGAACTTGCTACATGAATATTTTCTGAAGATGTTTTCTGAGGAATGGAATATAATAGTTTTTATCAGAATAGAAAATAAAAGGTTGTAATTTGTTTCTTATAGAAATAAGAAGTCTTTGATCAAGGCACTAATTCTAAAATAAATTACCAAGTCAAACCAACTGTTTACAAAAGTATTTACGAAATAGCATACTTATATTTATCAAGAACATAGATAATATGTATCAAGAATGTAGACAAAAAGGAGCAATGGTAGTGAATAGTTGTGAAATAGGTTCTGGAAGAAATAACTAGCTTTTATTACTTTGTACACATAGCCAAGAAGTGGTTTCATCTTATCTTGTAGTGTACAGGAAAAAATGCATCTGGCTCCTTTAATAACTTGCAGCTTATTTACTGAAAGGTTCAGGAATTCCTTGGGAAACCTACAGTATGATTAAACCACATGATGGCAGTGTTTACTGGATGACATTTCTGAAGCAGCTATTTATCATTTAAAATGTCTGCTAGCGGGAACCATCTAGAATAAATCCCCCACTTTTCCTAAAATCAGAAAAATAGAAATACTACTTAACACTTTTTTATTATTGCTGGGTGATTCGGTTTTCATACACTGCAACATCACTACATTTCTGTATGTAGATTGTATTTTTTTTATTAGTTGTGTAGATTCATATTCTATCTTTTCTGCAATACAGCAATAGTCTATATTTCTTATATAGTATATTTCAAAATCTAAATATATTACGTTGCAATATCTTCTAAATATATTACATTCCTGTGAGGACCTTATACATATTAAGGACAGCTTACTTCACCATAATACTGAATGGTTTTATTAATAATACAGTCACTGTAGTTTTCTTTCAGCTGTTATTATAAAAGGATTGAATGCAATAAGTGCCCCATGCAACTGTTATTTATCTATTCTTTTAAAGCATTTTAAGTCATAATACATTATTTTAAGATATTGTTTAACTAAAGAATGTTCAGACTGAAATATAACCTGTGTCTTTTTTCAGTAAAAGCCTTCAGGTGATTTTTGAAATTCTATAATTACTTTGGTTCTCATCCACATAATTAATTCCCAAAAGTACTTCTGTTCAAGATTATCTCTTGGTTGGCCTGAAGCATTGCCCATTGTTATGAATAGGCCTAATGCTGATTGCTTACAGTCAGTTTGTAATGAACGTCATGTAACTCCAATACAAAATGTAAGCTTGTAAAGAAATAATAACTGTATATTCATTTTTCTGTGAAACCTGTAATTGGTGTCATTTTATTTGGTGACACCAACTAACAAGTCAGAACAGCACACGACCAATGGTGCTCTAATCTAAGTGTTATTTTTAGAAATTGACAGAATATTTGATTACACTATATAAATCTAAAGCTATTGTGGGTTGGTTTATGTCTGTCTGTCTGTATGCAATGTATGTATGTATATATGTATGTGTGTGTGTGTGTGTGTGTATATATAATATCATTTGTCCATTGTCTTGGCATTTATTGTTATTTTGTGAATTGTGAACCTTCGTAAGATTGTGAATTTGACAAAAATGTGTAATTTCTATTAATGGACATTTACATTTACTCATTTGGCAGAAGCCTTAATCCAAAGTGACTTACTGGTGAGCCGAGTTGATGAAGGTTAGGGGCTTTGCTCAAGGGCCCAACAGTCAGTGGTCTATCATTTCTATCATTCTCTGTGATCAATAATACAATAATTTCTCTTAGGCTGTCTTTCAGGATTTCAGGACACTGCTCGTTATAGCCTCTCGCCGACTACAGAGTAAAAAGCACACTCCTCATTGTTTTATTTGTCGTCTGGCAAACATTCGTGTTATATCTACAGGGACTAAAATAATCTGTTACAGTAATCTGTTTTCGCTGGAGTTCTCAGTAGCTGTTTATGCAGTCCTTCTCGCCCACTGCTTGAGACAGCCCTGCTACACTGAGAGCCACGTGGGATCATGAAACCTGGCCGTCTTGAAGGGCGTGGCCACGCAGTAGCGCCTCAGTGGATGTCCAGCAGGAGGGCGTGGCTTGTCACTGTGGTCCACCCAATGGTAGGAAACACTGCGCGAGTCGCTATGGTGACGGCGCTCGGCTTGACTGCGTGATGGGTTGACAGGTTGCGCGCGCGGCTGTTAGTGCTCTGCGCGAGCATGTACTCCAAGAGTGTGCGGGTACCGTCGGATAGTCAAGCCAGAGAAAAGTAAGTTTATTTATCTATTCCCAGGAAAGAGGGGGAAACGAAATGGCCACTGTGGAACCCATTACATGCGTCTCAAACAGCTGTATTCAGAGAGAAAGCGAGAGACGGCGTTATCGTTGTCGGCATGTCCAATATCAGAAGCGTTAGTAGGTAGGCTACACGACGGCTGTTTGTTAGCGGTGTTTATGTACATATACATGGTTTGTGTGTGTTTACTCAAACGGACAATTACAATGGATGAAGTTATAAACCCATACATAAAGCGTTTTGGGTTTTGAAATCACAGGAGAATTTGCTTTTCCATATTAATAGGCTGTTTATAAATTATACTGTATATTGCCTAGAGGAGCAGTAAGAGTGTTAAAGATAAACAGTCATAGTTTTGTGTGTGTGGGTGCGCGCATGCGCAATTGGATGCGTTTGGTCTTTAAACGTCTGAAGCTGTGAAGCTGACAAGTGTGATAAAACTGTACTATCTTGAAATGTAGTTTTGGACATGTATACATCTGTTACTTTATTCTGCAATGCTGTCTTTCAGAGAAATGACACTGATTTTGCTTAGACCTGTGTACACAGCAGTATGTCCAGTTCAACACCTACACTATAGTTTTAACTTTGTTCGTCAAGGTCCAACTGGAGGTGTAAACACTGTAGGTGTTATATAAACACTGAGCAATGTTTTTCAAAAAGGAGCTCCAAAGATGCATACCTGGATGCCCAGGGTCTCGCTCTTGGATGCACCAGTGTCCAAGATTTACCTTGATCTGGAAATATAGCTAGTGCAGACTTTAGTGTCAGACTTTAGTCCCAGCATTCTACCTCTTTTAACACCTGATTCAACTCATCAGCTGTTTACAAGACCAGCATGGCCTCAGTATGGTGTGTTTGAAAAGGGGAACCTTAAACCTCTGTAAGGCCAACCCTCCAGGACATGACT